GATTAGAGCTCTACTACGTGCCAATGGCAGGACTACTAAATATTAATTTGATGATGTGATGGTTTATTTATTTTTTGTTCAGTTTTGAACACATTCTCTGTTATTTGTTGACTTTGATACCGACAATGTTGAGAACTGACATATTGAAACTGTCAAGAATTTAGTTTTGTTAGTTTTTCTTGTAAACAATAAACAAAAAAATATAATTTGTATTTGTTTGTATCTGTCTAATGCAGCCACACCTTTTGAAACACAAAAAAGATTTTTCCACAAATATTTCATGATAATATTTGAGATTGTGTAAAATTTTAAGGGTGTCCGAAAACTTTTTTCCACCACTGTATGTCATTGTTTGTGCCGTGCTGGTTGCCTTCATGTAGCAACAAGCTGAAATTGCAAGGGCAGCTGCATGGACAGCGTAACATTACGTATACATATTGTTTTTTATCATACATCTAGTTGAGTTTGCCTTGGTCATTTTGACCTTGATGCATACCAGGTAGTTCTTTTTTACCACAGAGGTGATCCATGTATGAATAAAGACACAAATCTCTGTTTGCTGCATGACCCGTTCTCCTCCTGTCTCCATGTCTCTGCAGTGGATTAACAGTCGTACGCTCGTCCTGGTAGACAGCCATGAAAAGCTGCAGGTTGTGGACCGGCCCAGTCAGGAGGTTTTGGAGACACTGGACTTGGAGCAGGTGCAACTGGTCTACAACAGCCGCCATTTCAAGTCGCTGGCAACTGGAGGGAATGTCTCCCAGGCTCTGGTGAGGGATTAGTTGATGGGGAACAAGGTCAGAGGTTCAGACCTTCATTTACAGGGTTAAGGGCAGGGGTCAAGTTTAAGAATGCTCTGCAACAGTCTTCACTTTATAACAATAGTGATAATGAATTAGATTTTGAAGGTAAGAAGTTATTGATCATAAATAAATGGCTGATGTGACTACACAGTCAAAAATGCAAATCCAGAGTCGTTGAACTATTTAAAAAAGCATGCTGAAGTTTAACTCGGGCTAACATAAGGCTTTAATAGTCTAAGTTAGAAGGGGATTACACACCTAAAATCATTTTAACAGGACCTGTGTGTGTGTGTGTGTGTGTGTGTCTAATAGTGTGTCTCTGTTCCAGGCTCTAGTCGGAGAAAAGGCCTGCTACCAGTCAGTCTCCAGCTATGCAGGACAGATTATCTATTTGGGCACCAAGGTACTGTGTTGTGTGTGTGTATTAAATACTGTATGTTTGTTGTCTGTGTGTGCAACAGCTGTGAACTGAAGTTTCTGTTCATGGAGTTTTATTAGTCTGAGTCTGATGAGAACCTGCTAGGATTCAGTTAAAAATGTCTCTTGTTTTAGTCTGCAGTCAGTTTTCTTATTTAACAGTGTGATGTTGTTCTCCTGTCTTGCAGTCCGCTCACATTATGACTCTAAGAAATTGGAGAGAGGTATGTTTGTGTGTATATACTGCCTATTTGGTAAAAATCCATTAAGAGAAGATATTAATAGCAGATACATTTCTTCTTTGTACTGGAAATTATTTAGTGTACGTCACTGCTCGCTTTGAACCTGATCCATGTTCCCCCTCGTCTCTGTCCATGTACAGCGAATCGACTGCCTGTTGAAACAGGAGCATTTTGTTGAGGCTCTCTCTCTGGCCTGGTCCTTCCATGAAGGAACTGCTAAAGCTGTGGTTGGTGGGTATAACACACACATCACACATCTTTAAATCAGCTTTTAAATCAATCTGTTCATAAAGGCCTGACTGTAGGTGTCTTCCACCAAGTGTTTGGTTCCACCTCTGTTTACTGACATCACTTGTGTTGATGAGGCTCATTTAAGTGTCAGTCATGATGATGATGACTGTAGAAGAATGTCTTCTTCCAGCTCTGGCAGTCCTGTGTGTGTTCTCTATTTGAAACTGGTCAGATATTTGCTAATATCGACGTACAAAGTGATCACATGAAGCAGGTGCCAGCTGCTACTTGTGCCAACTCGTAGGCAGAAAGTTAAACACAGTCAAGTCAATGACATGTGATGGCTCCTCTGCCATTCAGTGTTACCTAAATTCAGAAAACATCACTTGTTTGTAGTCTGCTGTAATCTCTTCACTGTGATAGAGTCAATTTTCAGAAGACAGAAAACCCTTTTTTTTTTTGGTTACATAAAACCCACTTCAGTTTTTATTTTGAACTACAAAAAACTGTGAAACTAAGTGTTTCAACTTGGATTTAAGTCACTGGACAGACATGGTGGTCAAAGTATTTAAAAAGACTGAATATTTAATAATCATTAATTCATTCACGTCATGATTTACGGTACATGTATGTAGGAGAGCCATGTTACAGAACATGCAGTTTGACTGGTTATTTTATTCTTTTTTGGGGCGGTCTCTTTCATAGGATTCAGTGGGCCTGAATACATCATGTTTGTCATGAAATTTCAATATGTGTGCCTTACCATGCAATATTTTGAATATATAAATTTTAAAATAAAAATCAGTTGTTACAATATGAGAATAATGTGTGGTGTGTGCTTATTCCAGGTTTGTTTGGAGATCCAGTGAAAAGGAAGGGAGTGGTAGCTGACAAGGTAAGAACAGAAACCTGCCACCTGCTGTATTAAATCTGGTCCCTGGAAAGTTTACTTCAATATTCCTGTGCTCTTCTCTGAACTTGTAACACTGTGTGTGCAGATGGTCGAGATCCTTTTCCAGTTTGCAGATCATGCTCTGAAGAAGTGTCCGGAACAAGGCAAGATCCAAGTGATGGAGCAACATTTCCACGTAAGCTAACATACCCTAAAAACACACCTTACAGTGTCCAGTCTGCCACATAATCAGCCCAGTCACAGAATACTAACAGCTGGGTGAACACAGTGAAAGTCTAGAGAAAATACAGTGTAGGCATGTAGCTCACATTTGACCATCATGGCCAACAATCCAGCATCGATAATTGAACAGTTCAACATTTTGGGAAATATACTTGTTGTCTTTCTTTCTGATAGTGAGATGAAAATATGAACATCAATCTCATATCAGTGTGTTTAGTACAGAGCTGGAGTCAGGACATAGTATAAAAAGTAACAGCAGGTGACTGTCCAGTTCAAGAATGCACCTACCAACACCTCTTAGGTTCACTAATTGACACTTTGTGTCCTATTTGTTTCATCTATACACAAACAGAAAGGTTAGAATGTGAAGTTGTTGTTTTGCAGGGAGGTTTACACAGTAGATATTTTTTGGGGATCAATGGCTGAAACAGTTCCTACTATTTTGTCCACCCCTGTATAAACTCATACTGTAGTAACTGCAGATAATGTAATAGCCTTGTAATAATACAATAAAACTTTTGAGCAAACAATACCTACCATACAATAGAAGACCTTTAAAAGACTAAACTCTGACACTCTCTCACATCTAAAGACAAGGTGAGTTTTTAGTCACACACTATAAGATTTGGCAAAGACTGAGGATTTTGTAGGGTCACTATTTGAAAGATGACAACTAGATTCCTTTTGACATTATTTCCCATCCTGCCCCTGATGGAAAGTATTGCTCCAAACTCTATTTGAGAAATATGACATTTTAACAATTCCTTACATGTCTGCAAAAACACATAACTCTAGAAATACTAGATAAAAGGTGCCATATCTCAACAGTATTCTTGTCAACATAATCCTTAAAGATAAACTGTATTTGGGTGCAAACTTTTCATTTTGGATTTTTTTCCTGAACTCGCTGCCAGCCTCCATTTAGATACACAAACCACAAACTTATTAGGTTAAGGTTGCAAACAATAGAAATATCGGGTTGGTACTGCAGTACAGTACATATCAGTGTGACTGATGAAGGAGTTTATCTGAAAGGGCTGTGGGGGTATACATGTATCAAACAGGAAATTTTGGGAACCTCCTCTCTTTAGTGGGCAGCGCGGTAGTGCACTTATGCTTCACAGCAAGAGGGTTCCAAGTTCAAATTCACTGGCTTGTGTATGGTTGTGTCAGCCCTGTGATAGTCTGGCGAACCTGTCCAGCGCGCTCCCCACCTCTAGTCTAGTGTCAGCTGGGATAGGCTCCAGCCCCCCGTGACCCTTTACCGGATAAGTGGTTACAGAAAATGAATGAATGCTCTATAGTAGTTTTCAGAGTGTCTTCTCCTATTTATTGAAATGATTAACTGAAGAGCATTAACGTTCTCGCTCTTTCTGTGTCTCTGTGATGTGTTCAGGATGTGATTCCAGTCCTGGTGGAACACTGCCTGCTGCTAAAGAGGCCGTAAGTATATATGCATTCATGGGCACGTAAATGCAAACACACAACCATCAAAGAAAGATCATTAGGCTAAAGGCCCAGATACACCAGGGCCGGCTCCAGAGAATTAGTGCCTTGCCCAGAAATGTTGCACATGAACACATTACAGCTGAAAGCCAACCAGCATGTACATTCTGCACCTGTGTGACAGGACATACCCCTTCACACCAGCAGATGGAGGTAGTCTGTATTCATCATTAAAAAAGGGTAACCAGAAGACCTGCTTTATGCTAGTTAGCCAGTTAGCACATTCACAACACAATCCAATTTTGAAAGACAGTCTCTGCTGTCACCAAAGCTGATTAAACCTGCTGAATGAGCTAAAAAAAACCAAGGGCTGATGAGGGCCAGCGGTGGGGGGACGACAACGCAAAGACTAGGGTGACTGACACTCTCCAATGGCCCAGTATTGACAGACAGTTGACCTGGACCTTTAGACTCATGTACTGCCAGGAAGTAGTGTGTCAGTGTGACCGAAGTAAAAGGCTTTTTTCTCATGGTCCAAACCAACTGAACTACACTACAGTTGTGAATGAGAACTATCAGGTTAACATGTCAAAGAAGTCCATTAAGTATATAAAACCTTAAGAGTGTGTGTGTGTGTGTGTGTGTGTGTGTGTGTGTGTGTGTGTGTGTGTGTGCGTGCGTGCGTGTGCGTGTGTGCAGGGACCTGCTGTTCAACCAGCTGTATGCTCGGCTGGTGGAGAACACGGTTGCTAAGGGAGTCTTTCTGGAGTCACTGGAGTCATACATTGTTGGGGATCGCCTCGGTCACCTCACCACGCCCATCATGAAGGACCTCTTGGCCCATTACCATGGTAACGGTATGATGGACAGCCTGGAGAGATGCATTGTTCACCTGGATGTGACCAGCCTGGACATACAGCAGGTGTGTGTGTGTGTATATGTCTGTGTACAGGAAGAAGAAAATCAGTGAGGACTTGTTAGAAAACAAAGTATTTAGTCTCAACATTTGGCTGGTGTCATTTTCACAAAAAGTCTTCTATGTGTGTGTGTGTTTGTGTTTGAAGGTGGTTCAAGTGTGCTGGGAAAACCAACTCTATGATGCTCTGATCTATGTTTACAACAGCGGAATGAATGACTACATTACACCTATGGAGGTAAGTCCTTTACCAAAAGGTTGTTTCATCATGTCAGAGTTGATGGAAAGTTGCATTATGCCACACCACAAAAACAGTTCAGGAACGGCCCAAGGAACATGACAAAGAGCTCAAGGCATCACCCTGGCCTTCAGATTCCCCAGATCCCAATCTGATCGAGCATCTGTGAAACATGCTGGAATTTGGAGGGCAGGTCGATGCCTTGACCTTGTTGCATTGTTCCTCAGCCCATTCCTGAATTCCTGAACAACTTTTACAGCGCAGCATGGCACATTATCCTGCTGGATGTGGCACTGCCACTGGGGAGTGCTGTTGCCATGAGGAGGTGTACTTGGTTGCAACAGTGTTTGGGTGGGTGGAGTGTGTCAAATGGCATCCACACAAATGCCAGGAACAAAGGTTTCCCAGCAAACCATTATATTCTAACAAGATGATCAGTGTTACTCACATCACCTGTCAGTGGTTTTAATATTTTGGCTGGTTGGTGTATATTTATATTATTATTACTCTGTTATTAAAATGCCATTGTATTTTGTGAAGAGCACATTATTACTTGTTTAGGACTCGAAACTTAAAGTTTAGGACTTGGGACTTGACTCTGGACTTGCCTTATTGACTTTGGACTTGAGTGCAATGATTTGAGACTTACTTGAAACTTGCAAAACAATGACTTCGTCTGTACACATTTAAGAGTACAGTATAGATTGCTGATATAGAATATTCACATATTGTGTTCATTCTAATGTAAAGAAGAATCTGTTTTTAGTAGCCTGTACTTTTTGTCAGTTACTAAATCTTTTTAATAGGAACTGTAGATCAGGACCTGAGCAATAATTGATACCATACTTCACTATGTTTTCTTCTTCATGTTTATTTTTCAGAAACTTTTTGCAATGATTGGTCCACCACTTAAAGCTGGGAGAAGCCTGACAGGTAAGGCTGGAAACCACTCATCCTAGATTTCATAGCACCTATTTTAATCATATCGCTAGTATTTTAAGTTTGAAAAGCACATTAAAATCCTCAACTGTGCTCTGGTTCTTCTTGCACAGATGAGGAAGTGGTGATGGGAAACAAACTTCTGGTGTACATAAGGTCAGTTCGCACAGATAGAAGTTTATACCTGAGTCTATTAGTCTGTGGCACACATTGTAGCCAAGTCTGATATCTGCCTGTAGCTGCTACTACATGTTTACTGTCAAAGAGGAGCCACTCATTTAATGTGATTATAAGAGGTGTCAGTAAATGTAGTCTCCATTCATGTCTGTGTAATATAAATGGAAAAATTAAAAACTGGAAGCTTTGGACATGTTGAAGGCAGTCTGTCTTCATTCCCAGCATGAACAAAATTCTCACCTGAAAATAAATTCCGTGCATCATACAATATACTTGTAAACTATCACAAATGTGCATGGCAGAAAGTTGCTTGTGCGTTTTTCCAGTCATAAATACATATATACACTGAACAAAAATATAAACGCAACACTTTTGTTTTTGCTCCCATTTTTGATGAGCTGAACTCAAAGATCTAAAACATTTTCTATACACACAAAAGACCATTTCTCCTCAAATATTGTTCACAAATCTGTCTAAATCTGTGTTAGTGAGCACTTCTCCTTTGCCAAGATAATCCATCCCACCTCACAGGTGTGGCATATCAAGATGCTGATTAGACAGCATGAATATTGCACAGGTGTGCCTTAGGCTGGCCACAATAAAAGGCCACTGTAAAATGTGCAGTTTTGCTTTATTGGGGGGGTCTGGGGGGGTCAGAAAACCAGTCAGTATCTGGTGTGACCACCATTTGACTCACGCAGTGCAACACATCTCCTTCGCATAGAGTTGATCAAGTTGTTGATTGTGGTCTGTGGAATGTTGGTCCACTCCTCTTCAATGGCTGTGCGAAGTTGCTGGATATTGGCAGGAACTGGAACACGCTGTCGTATACGCTGATCCAGAGCTTCCCAAACATGCTCAATCGGTGACATGTCCGGTGAGTATGCTGGCCATGCAAGAACTGGGATGTTTTCAGCTTCCAGGAATTGTGTACTGATCCTTGCAACATGGGGCCGTGCATTATCATGCTGCAACATGAGGTGATGGTAGTGGATGAATGGCACAACAATGGGCCTCAGGATCTCGTCACGGTATCTCTGTGCATTCAAAATGCCATCAATAAAATGCACCTGTGTTCGTTGTCCATAACATACGCCTGCCCATACCATAACCCCACCGCCACAATGGGCCGCTCGATCCACCACATTGACATCAGCAAACCGCTCACCCACACGACGCCACACATGCTGTCTGCCATCTGCCCTAAACAGTGAAAACCGGGATTCATCCGTGAAGAGAACACCTCTCCAACGTGCCAGACGCCATCGAATGTGAGCATTTGCCCACTCAAGTCGGTTACGATGACGAACTGCAGTCAGGTCGAGACCCCAATGAGGACGATGAGCATGCAGATGAGCTTCCCTGAGACGGTTTCTGACAGTTTGTGCAGAAATTCTTTGGTTATGCAAACCAATTGTTGCAGCAGCTGTCCGGGTGGCTGGTCTCAGGCGATCTTGGAGGTGAACATGCTGGATGTGGAGGTCCTGGGCTGGTGTGGTTACACGTGGTCTGCGGTTGTGAGGCCGGTTGGATGTGCTGCCAAATTGTCTGAAACGCCTTTGGAGATGGCTTATGGTAGAAAAATGAACATTCAATTCACGGGTAACAGCTCTGGTGGACATTCCTGCAGTCAGCATGCCAATTGCACGCTCCCTCAAAACTAATCAGCATCTTGATATGCCACACCTGTGAGGTGGGATAGATTATCTCGGCAAAGGAGAAGTGCTCACTAACACAGATTTAGACAGATTTGTGAACAATATTTGAGGGAAATGGTCTTTTGTGTATATAGAAAATGTTTTAGATCTTTGAGTTCAGCTCATGAAAAATGGGAGCAAAAACAAAAGTGTTGTGTTTATATTTTTGTTCAGTGTAGTATATATATATAAATAGTGTATAAATACATATGTATAAGTGTGTGTGTGTGTGTGTGTGTGTGTAGCTGCTGTCTTGCAGGAAGGGCATATCCACTAGGAGACATCCCTGAAGACCTTGTGGTTCAAGTCAAGAACCAGGTAAGTAGATACTAACTACTATCAAGTTCAAAAAAACCTTAATTCTGAGCAGAAAAGTGCCCCACATTATCTCTGTTTGTCTAATCAGATGATTTGAGAGGTGGGCCTTCTGTGGTGGTCATGACAACAAGTTTGCAGTTGGTAAATAATGGAGGAGAAACTGGTGGTAGGGGTTGCTGAATACTCAGAGCTATACATCCAAATGAGAGATAGCAAACTGTCAAACTGCTCCTGAGTTATCCTAAAGTATTCCTGGAAATGGCCATCATGAAGGCAAAGCTCCTGTACCGACTGATGGTGCTCCCTGTCATCCACCCTCTTTTTAAGGGTCTCATGTACCCACACAGATCTCCATTTCCCTGTGCCCAACAAACTATTTGCTGACAGCGTCTCACCCTCAACCAGAGCTACAGCAAGTACCCTCTGCCTGTGCATTTTAGTAACTACATACTATCAACTGTGAAATAAAAGAAAAAATAAATGATAGCTTGATTACACGGGAAGGTTAGGGTAAAGAAGTGGAGAGCAGCAAGCGTTTTTTTTACTAGTGACATTCAATAAAAAAAAAGGCAGTGCATTGCACCTTATTTTGCAACCTGCAAAACTCTGTCCCTGTGATTGGGGCCCTATAGAGCATAACTTCCTACAGTCACCATTGTAAAGCCACAGACATCACACTAGCATTTCTGCCAGAGCTATGAACCTTTCAATATAAGAGCACACTGCAGTATTAAGTGACTCCACCACCAGGTGTAGTTATAGCCTCATTTTATCCTCCACCCTGAAGAATTATCCCAAACAGTTTCACATACTAAGGTTACAGATTTTTGAGTAAATGAAAAAAGTGCTGCCGTTTGGTTGGTACTCAATATCATCAAATACACTAAAAGGGTGCCCTCTGTTCATTTATTGCCTCTGTTTGTCAGGTGTTTAGTTCGATGAGCACTGCTGGGGGCTTGTGTTTGGAGGGTGGTGAGATCGGGATTAACACCACTGTTGTGTCATCTGAAGAAATGTAGTGGGCTAATGCCATGTGTGTGTGTCTGTGTGTTTTGTGTCAGGTGTTTGAGTTCCTTATCCGTCTACATTCAGCTGACTCATTAGAGGAAGAGGAGGTTTTCCCATTTATTCGAACTCTCCTCCACTTTGACACCCGGGAGTTCCTCAATGTCCTCGCCATGGTGAGATTTCTTTATATCATTTCAATTCTTGTTCTGCTAAATGTGTCTTATAGTGGGTCATTAAAGTTCATTAATACTTCTGCATTGAATCAACGCTGTAGCTATGACGTAGGCTTCACGTCGACGTACGCCGTAACCTGACGTGCACCTCCCCAGAATTGTAACTACACGTTGCTATTGTTGGATGTTTTCATACATCTTGAATTGTTTGGATTAAAGATGGACTGCACTCAGTAAAGGTTGCAGTATTGGTCTTATTTTGGTTAGGGATGCACCGAAATGAAAATTTGTGGCCGAAGCCGAAGCCGAATAAAATTAAACACTTGGCCGAATACCGAGTACCGAATACCGTTGTTTAGTTTTTCATTAGTTTTTGCAGATGAACTCCCTCCAGATTAGTGTTGTCACGGTACCAAAATTGGGACCCATGGTATGATACCAGTGAAAATATTGTGGTTCTGAGTAGTATCACAATACCACAGCGAAAATGAGGCAGATGTGCCTTTTGTCATTTATAAAAAGATAAATCACTTTTCTATAATACATCAATGATATTTCAATGGAATAAATTACTTATTGACTTATTCATACTTCAAAAACAGCATCAATAAGTGATTAACATAGGGGGGATCAAAATGAAATAAATAAATATAATAAAAATCAACCAGCCACCCTCCTCCTCTGACAAGTAAAGAACAGTTCCTTCATAAGTAAAGAACATTCCCTAAAGTGCGGTGTGGTTTGTGAACCGTTACCTGCCACAAAGAGAGAAATGTGAACGGCTCGTTTCTCCTCTGACACGCCACATACCTGTGTGCCGCCATGGCTCGGCGTTCAGGTACTTCTGGGCAGTCATGACGCCAAGAAGAGGACATTATTGGAGCCGGACTTCTCCGTCGCCAGTAAGCCTCATCTTGTGCCACGGAGCACTATGGCCGCCATATTTGACAGGAATACATTCCTGTCCGTGTCTCTGACCCCCGATCAACCCACAACCGGCAGGATTCGCCTTTTGTTTCTGCTGTTGGTTGAAATCTGTACTGGCACAGCGTGCTGAATGATTTATTTTGCTTGCACAAAACTATTTTTAGTTGCAAATGCGAGTGCGGTGACGGACGGAGTAAAATATCGCCACACTGCCGACATTTTGCTCCGTCTGTCACCGCATGTTGTTTGATTGCATTATCAAAACACGCCGCTATTATTCGGCCTTGCTTTTCACTTATTCCACCAAATACCGAATGTGTGTTTTTTGTAATATTCAGCCGAATATATAGGTCTTTGTGTTCTCATTATGCCTCTGTGCTGGTGACAGCCATGGCTGGAGGCATTATGTTTGGTTACCATGGGGTGGTGATTCTAGATTTTCTACTAGATAATTTTAGTACCTCTGAAAGGTGAGATGCGCTTTGGCATTTTTTCTGTCATTTAAGATTTGGTTCTTACTTTTCTGTAGACATTTGAAGACTTTAAGAATGATAAGCAGGCCCTGGAGTACCAGCAGAGGATAGTGGACATCTTACTACAGGTAAAGTCACTGAAATTATTCCATCCTCTGTTGTGTTTGTTTCACATGATTGTTGAGAGTGAAGACAGCATTGAGCATAAAAAGTAGCTTGGTATTTTTGTCCTTTATTGAAACAGACAATGTGATCTTGCAGAACCATTCACAGCACAAACCTTCTGCTTCACAGCAAGTCAGAGAAAAAACTGGCACTAAACAGAAAATAATACAGTGACATGACCATCTTATGGAACTAGAGAATTTAACTACACAGTATACCTGTGTTTTTCAAAGCCAACCACCCAATAGGACAGTATTTACTTTTTCACTTGAAGGGCTCCATGTTAAAACAGTAGCGGAGTCATCATGAAAAAGGAGTGGTTAATATCATTGACTACTGTTAAAGTTGTTATCTTCTCTGTCTTCTTTTTGATTATATATGTATGTCTATTTGGTTACCTAGGTGATGGTGGACAACCCAGACTTTACTCCATCCCAGGTGGGCGGGCTCTTCACTTTTCTGGCACGCCAGTTGGCTAAGCCAGACAACACGCTTTTTGTGAACAGGAAGCTCTTTGATCAGGTAACCAGTCAGATCCCCCAGACACACAAGTATGTCATGATAGATAGTTTTATCCTGATACTTTCAACTCCAATCTGACATGACATGATATGACATGACATTATAGCTGGTATTATATGACAGTATATACAATTAAACTTCCTAAAGACAAAACATGTGTGGGTCTCCTTTACCTCTGCATCATCCTCAGACAGTATTTACGTGAATAGCCAACCTCCTAACTGTCTTTCCAGGTTCTGGAGTTCCTGTGTTGCCCAGACGATGATTCCCGACACACTGAGAGGCAGCAGGTTGGTGAAGCAGGTCCCTATTTGTATGTGCTGGGTAGTTATGTTCTTGTGTGTACTGTTTTTACTGCTGCTTTCATGTTTGATAATGCTCTCAGAAAGATTATTGAGATCCTGAAAGCCTGTTCTGGACCAGTCACTAAAACACAAACAGGAAGCAAAAAAGCATCTTGTCTAACAAGATAGCAGTTTGCAGAGCCACTTCATGTTGAAAGAATACTTCGTCTGGTAAATAAGTAAGGGTTAATGCCCGACAAGGTGTCCATTATCAGGAATTAATGGACGAGGCAGAGGCGTGAACCGTCCGACGTAACCGTAACCGTGCTTCCGAGAAGTCCATTCATTCCTGATAATGGACACCTCGAAGGGCATTAACCCGCTTATACCATGGTCACTTACCAAAGAAATGAATATTAAATCAATTATTTATGTTTTAATGTGTTTTACAGTTAAAATCATGAGTTTTTTACAAGCCACAGCTGAGCGGACTATTTAATCTCTGTAGTTCACAGGCGTTGCCATGGAAACCTGCTATGGCCGCAGCATAGAGATCACAGGACTCTGATCAGTGAAGGGAAGTGAGATGATGACCAAACGTTACGTGATATTATTCAGAAGATGATAATTTCAGAAAGCCAGTGCACTTCTTACCGCTTGTGTGTGACAGACTCTGGTGGTCAGAGGATGATGTGCAAAAAAAAAACTTGAGATATTACTTTCATGATTCATTGGCGTTCATTTATAGGCCCAAGAAAATTTGTTTCAAATAATCAACATCCAAATAGTAGTCTAGTCAAAATCGTTTGTAATTGCAACAAATAATTCATAAGCATATAGTAGTCGAGATTAAATCATATAAACACATTAACAAATTAACGATTGTTTCCTATTTAAAATTAAGTGCTACATTACCATTAATTTGAAGTGAAATTTGAAAGTGATATGGGTATGTCCATCATAGTGGCATTTGAAGGACGGAGATTGACAGATTGAGTACTGCTTGTTGGGACATTTGGAGACAACAAGATGTTGCTCCAGTCTCGTCTCTCCTGCGCTGACAGAGCCCAATAATCCTGCAGGCTGCTTTCACACCGATGTCCCTGTGACGGTCATCAGACGAGTTTTCAGGCCGGTGTAAGAGAGCCGACCTACAGCTGTGCTCCGGAGGCTGTGATTGGTGTAGACCCGCGACTCCTTGTGCCGTTTCTCCCTTTTCTTTTCATTCTCTAACCTCTCTTCTTCTGCATCACAGTTATCAAAATGATCAGATTCACGAAATAAATTAAATGAAACGATAAAATCACTCATGATGCCCGTTGTAATCCGTTGCCTCTGCTCTGAGTCTCCGTTGCTATGGTTACAAACTAGCAGTTGAGCCAGCGCAATAATTTAGAACCTGTCATCAGGCAATTTGACCGGAACGTCTTTTTAGCTGTCCTATAACACCTTTTAACGGACACCCTGCAGCCAATCAGAATTGAGTATTCACCCAGACCATGGTATAACTATTAATATATCAATTTCTGACTGCATGTTACTTTGAGTTTGTAAAGAAAACTTTGTTTTTATCACATGCCTCCAAGGCGAACAGGAGAATCCAAAAAAGGGAAACAGAGTGGGGACCACGTTTAACAACAGCACATCTATATTAAAACATCAGTTTAGAACTCTCATACAAGTGTAATTTATCCAGTTGTATGCTCAGTACCTCCCAAACACATGCATTTTTACCAAAATGTTGCAATATAAAACACTTTCTACAATGAGTAGCTGGCCCTCAGTGGGTCTCAGTACACATGTGTGTATGAGCTTGGCTTGAACAGAGTTTAAACACAGACAAGTACTCAGGCACGCTACTAAGCCATGCATGAGACTGTTTGTACTGACGTGTTTTAAATTGCAACATTTTAACAGATGTTTTCGTATAGTTTTGCAGCTGGTAAATGTGGTCGCTGTGTTGTAAAATTTAAAATTAAAATTAAGAATGTTTGAGCTTTTTGGATTCTCCGTTCACTGTGGAGTCATCTGAGAAAAACAAAGTTTTCTTGACAGATTCAAAGTAACACACCAAATAATGATATACAAACAGTCATTTGCAGGTGATATATTCATTCAGTGTGTGTGTGTGTAATGTCTGAAGTCTGTAATTTGCTAGATGATGTCATGTCATCATGTTTCTGTTTTTTATTGTGATTGGTCTGTAGGTTCTGCTGGAGCTTCTCCAGGTCGGGGGTGTTGTCCAGTTTAATGAAGGAAGGCTGTTGGCCCTGGCAGAGAAGGCCAAGTTGTGAGTAGCTGACCAAAGACCTAAAGTGACGAGTGCAATTTTAACATCTTGTACCTTTGCAAATTTTCCATGCCGTTTTTTTTTTGGTTAGAATTTTGTAACTTTCTAGGGTTATGAGCTTACGTTGTTGTTCTAGGCTATGCAAAATGTAGTTGACATATTCACTGGATGGAGCTTTCCAAAAGTGAAAACAACTCCTTAAAAATATAATGGCTCTTTAGCGTCTGTGTGTTCCACTTTCAGCTGGCCTCTAATTGTGTCTGTCTACTGTTTGATGCTGGGCAGATAGTGAACAGCAGGTCTATCAGAGCGTTCTCACTGGAAACAGCTGCCGGTTGATTTTGGAAACAGAGTTGCTGAGAGCATTAAGACTGAAGCAAACGTTATATTATGATATGTTTTGCCACAAAATACAGTAGGTGAAAAGAGGCTAAAACTCTGTAGAGGTGAAGGTAAGTACAGAGTTGGTGATAATTCCCTCTGGGGTTGTCACTATGAGGGACACCTTTTACATTGCACATTGTCCTCTAATCCTTAGCTGACTGTCAGTCAGTGCAGCTTTGACTCTACAATGCTGATATTTTTACATACAGTGACTCACCCATCACCAGTCTTAATTATCCAGTTGGTGCTCAGTCTCAGTGCTGCTTTTTACTAATTTCTCAGGTCATCTAGACATTTTAAAGCTTTGGTTAGCACAACTACCTGTGAAAACATCAGAGGCAACAGGGGAAATAATTGACATTTTTCTGTGGTCTCAATAACATGTCTTTGTGCCTCCCTGTGTTTCCCTCCAGCTACCAAATCTGTGAATTTCTGTATGAGAAGAAACATCTGTACGACAAGATCATTGACTGCTACCTGAGAGACCCCCTCAGAAAGGTAAGAGCAAGACAGCTGGTAAAATTGTGTTCCATCTCAGCTGTAACAGGCAGCCTGGCTGTGTTCTCGATTGCTGTTGACTATTGTAATGTAATTGGCAGATGAAAATAAACTGTGTGTGTGTGTGTGTGTGTGTGTGTGTGCGCGCAGGGGGAGATCTTCAGCTACATTCACAATCTGCTGTCCATGCCTGGCTACAGCCCAGAGGAGAAACAAGCAGTCAAGGCCAAAGTACTGCAACACATACAGGTCAGATCATACTCAGACACAAAAATATCATTATGACTTCATTCCTGGGAAGAGGGTCCTTCTCCTCAGCCTTTTGCTCTAGCTTTTCCTTGGGAATCCTGAGGTACTCAAGAGGCAGTTAAGATATATATATATATATATATATATATACAGTCAGGTCCATAATTATTTGGACAATGATACAGTTGTCATCATTTTTGGCTCTGTACACCACCACAATGGGTTTTAAATGAAACAATGAATACCTGCTTAAAGTGCAGACTCTCAGCTTTCATTTAAGACTTTTTTCAAAAATGTAGTATGAACCGTGTAGGAATAACAACCATTTCTTCACACAGTCCCCCAACTTTAAGGGCTCATAAGTATTTGGACAAACTAACATAATCATCAATTAAACAGTCAGTTTTAATACTTGGTTGCAAATCCATTACAGTCAATGACTGCCTAAAGTGTTGGACACATAGGCATCATCAGATGCTGGGTTTCTTCCCTGGTGATGCTCTGCCAGCCCTTTACTGCAGCCGTCTGCACTTCCTGCTTGTGTTTTGGGTGTTTTGCCCTCAGTTTTGGCTTCAGCAAGAGAAACGCATGCTCAATTTGATTCAGGTCAGATGATATGACTTGGCCATTGCAGAACATTCCACTTCTTTGCCTTAAAAATGTCTTTGGTTGCTTTTGCAATATGCTTCAGGTCAATGTCCATCTGCATTGTGAAGCATCGTCCAATGAGTTTTGAAGCATTTGGTTGAATCTGAGCAGATAATGTAGCCCCAAACACTTCAGCTTTCATCCTGCTGCTCTTGTCAGCAGTCACATCATCAATAAATACAAGAGAACCAGTTCCACTGGCAGCCATACATGGCCATGACATAACAGTACCTCCACCATGCTTCACTGATGAGGTGGTGTGCTTTGGATCATGAGCAGTTCCTTCCCTTCTTCCTTCTCTTGTCTTCCCATCATTCTGGTAGTTGATCTTTGTTTTATCTGTCCATAGTATGCTGTTCCACAACTGTACAGGCTTTTTAGATGGTTTTTGACAAACTCTAATCTGGCCTTCCATTTTTAAGGCTAACCATTGGTTTGCATCTTGTGATAAACCCTCTGTATTTATTCTAGTGAAGTCTTGTCTTGCTTACAAGAGCAGCAGGATGAAAGCTGAAGTGTTTGGGGCTACATTATCTGCTCAGATTCAACTAAATGCTTCAAAACTCATTGGACGATGCTTCACAGTGCAGTTGGACAATGACCTGAAGCATATTGCAAAAGCAACCAAAGACATTTTTAAGGCAAAGAAGTGGAATGTTCTGCAATGGCCAAGTCATATCATCTGACCTGAATCCAATTGAGCATGCGTTTCTCTTGCTGAAGCCAAAACTGAGGGCAAAACACCCAAAACACAAGCAGGAAGTGCAGACGGCTACAGTAAAGGGCTGGCAGAGCATCACCAGGGAAGAAGCCCAGCATCTGGTGATGTCTATGTGTCCAACACTTCAGGCAGTCATTGACTGTAAAGGATTTGCAACCAAGTATTAAAACTGACTGTTTAATTGATGATTATGTTAGTTTGTCCAAATACTTATGAGCCCTTAAAGTAGGGGGACTGTGTGAAGAAATGGTTGTCATTCCTACACGGTTCATACTACATTTTTGAAAAAAACCTTAAATGAAAGCTGAGAGTCTGCACTTTAAGCAGGTATTCATTGTTTCATTTAAAACCCATTGTGGTGGTGTACAGAGCCAAAATGATGACAACTGTATCATTGTCCAAATAATTATGGACCTGACTGTATATATTTTTTTTTTCTTTAAATCATCCCAGCAGACAGATAGAGACATGAGTGTGGCCTGTCTAGGTGGAGAGGATACACATCCATAACCCTGTTGTATTGATAACAGTTATTATGAATTATTGCTTTGTTTAAAATCAGTCTTTAGTCTTTGTTTTTTTTTTGTATTTAATTAAGCAATATTACAGGAGAGGGAGTTCCTACGACCCCCTCACAGTCATGCTGCTATTCAGTACAGCAGCACTCCCTCTTATGTGACATTGCCTTTACACAATAACTCTAGTATTTATTAGTTAACAGTACAAGCAACAACAGATTATGATTTGTTTGCTTATTTAATCATTTATTTGCATCCGCCAACATAAATAGTTCTTCAGTCGGACTGCGACTGAACTGTTGCCAAGCAACACATAAACATTCCCACACACTAGCTTGCTACTTACTCTAGGTCTAAAGGTTACCACAGGTCAGCTACTTTGTTTAATGTACATTTATCTGTATGTTTCTATTTATTCTGCAACCAGTGATATAAGAGCATGTTGACAGTTGCTTTGGTGGCGTACACGTGATTCAGATGAGTTAACAGCTTGATCAGACAGTCCCGTTGTGACATAGGTTGATGTCATATGTGCTCAACTGGAGGTTTGCAGTGAAGTATCCAGGATTCTGTCCTTCAGGTTATCCTCCTCTGACAACCATTCAGGATTTAACTCAAATGTTATTTGTGGAAATATGTTAAACTTTGCAGTGCATCATTTGTCCACAGGAGCTGGTGGCCCTTGACCCCATCAAGTCAGCTGAACTAGTGCTGTTTCACTTTGCCCAAGAGGTGCAGCAAATCATCTCTGAGCTTCAGGTAAGATCAAAATAGATAATGATTTATTATTATATCTTCCCTGTCTTGTGATATTATTACTGACAGTCTGGCTACAGACTACCAGCTTCAAAATATTACAGAAATACAAACACGTTTCTGCACTAACACTGCTGAGGGTCATTTTTACTTTTACTGTAGCCAACATCATGTCTGTCACAGAGTTCTTTAGAATATGACGAAAAAGGAAAAGAACAAAAAGTGTAAAAAGTAATTTGCTGGTTGCTGCCTGATGGTTCCTGCACTGTGTAAACAAAATGAGCAGATTGAAACCTGTTTGGGAAGCTTACTTTTACACTTTTATTACTGTTTGAGTGCTTTAAACAGTTGTACCCTCCTCAAAGGGTTCCACATTACTTTCTACTAAAGACACAGGTTAAAACAGCAAACAGATCACAGTGTGAAAGTGAACCACCACATCACCCTATTTGGAAGGTATGCAGTACATCTCCTGCCCAAAGGTGGCTTTATACTGACTGCCTGCCCACACATACCAACACATCTATCATCATCACATCTAAGACTTTGCACACCTCCTATTGTAGGTGGTAATAGTCACAACAAAACACTGTGACAGCCCATTGAGACGAGTTAATGTTACCCACTAAATCAGTTTCTCTCTCTCTTTCTAGGATGACCAGCTACTTTTCAAGTTTCTCAGCTGCCTCCTGGAGCCACGGTATAGTGTGATAAGTCTGCTACCTCACTTCTCCATTTCTTTTAAACTTGCCCCCCTCCTCCCTCTGTCTCCTCCTGTTCTTCCTCCTCACGTCTCGTCTGCTGTGTTATTCAGGGAAGGTCATCACTCAGGAGTCGTCCTGCCTCTGGAACGTGACCTCCATGAGCTTCTGCTGGACTTACTGTGCCGCTTTGCCCCCGAACAGCTCCTGAGCTTCCTGCAGACCTCCCAGCACTACAGACTGGAGGAGGCCATACATGTACGATCTACTATACTTTGATGATATGAACTGTGTTTGTGTACAAGAGTTTATTACCTGCACCGTGTTCATGTTGTGGGAACAACAGGAGTGGTTTATCATATGACAGAAAAGCAAACTAAACAAAGATGTGAACACAGTGACCATCACACCTGCTGAACATTAGCTTGTTAGCATTATCATTGTGATTATGATGGTATGTTGACGTTAGCATTTAAATCAAAACAACGCTGTGACTAAGGACAGCCTCATAAAGTTGATAACATGGCAACTTTGATTTTCAGTTCAGTACCGGATTCCTTCAGCTGATAACACCATCACAAGACTTCATGGATGTGTTAGTGATCAGGCTGTATTGTGCCTTAATGTACATTCTCTCTACTAACTGTATTTACATTCTTTCATTCACTTTATGATAGTGATAGTGTGAAGGGCTGCCTTGTTTCACTAGACTCCATACAGTTGCCGTATTTACAGTTTCATGCACTGTGAGAGAATAAGGCCGAAGTCAGCAGAAGGGTCCATCACTGATAGGCTGTGGAACCAGCACAAAGAAGAGGTCAAATACTCCCATTTAGGGACGGGTATTGCTAAGATTTTATCGACACTACTACTTTTATCGATACTTTATTGGTACTCTTATCAGTTCTCTTTCATTTCTAAATATTTGCTTTTTAGAAAATATATTTATGTAATAAAGAATAAATTCAGAACAGGATTATTGAATATTTTAAATAGGACAAAATGTTGTTTCCAGAGCAGCAACAGTAATTTTTACCACAGCAGAGACACTTTATAAACAATATTCCTGACCTGACAATACTGAGTGAAGTTTATTATTTATCAGTCAGTCCTCCTGTCCTCTTTCCCCCTGTCCTCTGTCTTTATTTCCTCCTGTCCTCTGTCCTGCTCCCTCTCTGCTGATGTAATTCACAGTGTGCCAGTAACATTAGTGCTGGTAGAGAGAGGAGGGGCCATTTGTCTCAGCCAGCAGCTTAGTTTAAAAGTATCTACCCAATTTTAAGTGTGTCAAACTAAGTTAGTCTACATACAGACAGCTTTCATTTCAGCTTATTAGTAACAATTCGCTATTAGCTCAACTAACGTGCTGTCTAAACTAGCGTGTGTGTAAGACATAACGCCCTAGTTTTTGCGGTCCCAATGACAGGTAGAAAGCAACTACCTATTAAACACTGCTCTGCTGTTCTGACTAGCAGTAAGTTCAGTGAACCAAATCAAAAATACATACTTTTCCTCTTACCTGTAGCCCTGTTTATCAGTCTAGACTGTTTTGGTATGTTGGAGATATCAGCCATAGAGATGGCTGCCTACTCTCTAGTATAATGGAACTAGATGACATCTGGCTTGTGGTGCTCAAAGCACCAAAAAATACATTTAAAAACCTGAACAGCAATCTCGCTTTCCAGAAATCGTGACCTGGTTACTCTAGATAATCAGCAGTTTCATGTAAGAACTATTTTCTTTCTACTGAACTAACCCTGCCAACCGTATCACCAAGCAGAGGGAAGCGTGCATCTACTGCTTGTTAACCTAGCACCACTAAGCTAGCTAATGTTGCAGCTCAGCCAAGGAGGACGCCATTAATGTTGATCTCTCACTCTGTCAGAAGCATGAGCCTCCAATCCATGTTATTGCATGCTTCCTTTTGCATGGTGATACAGGTGGTGGGTGTACTATGTATGTTTGTATTTTTTATTTTGGGGGTGAACTGTCCCTTTAAAAGGCACAGTGTGAAGGATTTAAGAGGATATATGGGCTGAAATGGAATATAATATTCATAAATATATATTAACAGAGCGGGTCCTCTTCCACAGAGTTTGCCATGTTGTTCTACAGTAGCCCAGAATGGACAAACCACACACTGGCTCTCCATAGGGCCATTCATGTTTTTGCGTCATTTACACACTTGGCACACGAAAAAAGTTTCAGTTCTACAACCTCACCGCTTGAGAGTAAATATTCAGTGATGTAATGAAATGACTGATTAAGAAAACGACTATCACCATAGCATCAAAAATATTAATATAATGAAGGATGTAATGGTATAATGAAAATGTATCCATCAAAGGAACTGCATCATACTGTGTATGGTAATTATTGTATTATCTGTACTGTAGTGATACAGCACCAGATGGTACCAGCTTACCTGTACCCGTGAGTGTGACAGCACGTGCTTCTCTATGTCTCTCTGTCCCTGTCTTTGACTCTAGGTAACAGAGAAGTACCACCACAATGAGGCTACAGCCTATCTACTGGAGAAGAAGGGAGATGTTCATGGAGCTTTCGCTGTCTTGTTAGAGGTAGATACACAACACCCACAGACTATTCATTGATTAGATTCATTAATGAACCAACCATTTACCAATTTGACACATGAATACGAGGGCTCGATTGTAGTACTGATTAATATATTGCATATCCACATATATCTGTGTGTATACGGTGCTGTTGAGTTAAAGCAGAAATTCATATAAAATGTAAATACCCAAGTACAGTGTCAGTAGCAAAAACTATACTGAAATACAGCAGTTAAATGTACTTACTTTCCATAATGTTATTTTATATAGCTGTTTAAAAAGTGCTTTAAACTCTCTCTGAAGACACTGAAGGAAAATCTGAACCTCCTTACTGCTGAGTGTGACAGAGGAGCTGATGAAGGAGATGGAGGACAGGAAGAAGAGGAGAGAGACAGTGAAATAACGCTGACAAGAGTAAAGAATTCACTGAACGACATCACTGATCTCTGTCACCGAAGCTCTGACAACCTCTACCAGCAACAAAGAGAGGTGAGAGTGTGTGTGTGTGTGTGTCTGTGTGTCTGTGTGTCTGTGTGTGGGTGAGGGGGTGACAACTGTCTACTCATTTATTACTTTTTCTTCCCTTTTTTCACAGGTTCTGTGGTTTCCACTTCTGGAGACCATGATGGCTTCTCAAAAACTAGTAAAGGGTCTGAATGCCGACCACACATTTGAAGGTAAACGCACATAGAGACACACACACACACACACACTTATGAGCAAGGATGTCCCAAGTGTTTTCGGCCCTGGTCTGGGCCAAAGTCCTCTGTTTTTTCATCATGAAAACTAATGTCAGTGCTTTGCATTTAGTATGAGCAGGTCTTTGCTGCTCTCTGCTGGATTCAGCTCTTCACTTTGTTGTCTGTGCGCTGATCTGATTTTAATGTGGCATGGAAAAACATTTGTTTCAGGTATTAAAGCCAAAAAAAGCTAATTATATTGCTTTCATCATATGTTGCTTATTCAAGTATGACACAGTAAATGCATTCACAAAATGTAAATACAGATTAAAATGTACTTTATGTTGAATTTAATGATATGTCTTTGTTTATTTCTATTTCAGTGTTTTAAATTTTCTCTATTGAACAGTTAAGGATTAGAGCTGAGGGCAGTTTGAAATATTAGAGATAAAAGCAAATATGCAGTCCACTAAATGTGATTTTTTTTTTTTTCATTACCTCTGACCAAAGTGTTCCAGAATCAATGTATGCAGTATTAAAAGTGTCTGTGAACAGTTATGTCTTTATGATTATGTATGATCATGATATGATGGTGTTTTATGTAGCCATTGAGCACCCTTGTTTGTTATGTCTTTACCACCTACAACAGTATGACAGTGATGGTGACGCTGTTGATTAAGATGATATTCATTATGTGTGTGTGTGTGTGTGTGTGTGTCTCAGTGCTCAAGGAGCTGACCATGAAGGTGCTCAACTCGATGAGCAGCTTTATTTCTCTGCCTGCCATCATCCAACGAATACTGCAGGTGTGTATGTGTGTTTTGTTCGGCCTTTCTCAATTTTTCCTACTTTAAAAGGATTCCTCTGAGTGTCAGACAGTCGCTGTTTGTGTATCTGCCTTATGCCTTGTTTCCACTTACGTATGTGTGCAGAGACAAGTCAACCGGAAGTTCATTAATTCCTATGGGAATCTGTGATATCTGATGTGCCCTCTGTAATTTTTAAATCCAGAATTTTCCGAGTATGTTAAAAAAAAATTTGCACTTTTGCGGTGGATTTCAGATACTGTTTGTGACAGTGTGCTAGCTTCCTTCAACTCAGTTGCCCATGTTGATTGTCAAGTCAGTTTGTATGATTTACATTGTGAATCTGAGTAATGTTATTCTGCTAAAATATGGTTACACAATATATACAGTCAGATTGTCATTATGACTCTTTTAGCCGTTCATACATCTTTTTAATGAAATATTTCACATACGTACTTGGCAAGCCAACATCTTCACTTAAATGTTGCCATGCGATATTGGTTCTGTTTTTCTCTCGATAATGTTCCAAGTGCATATTAAGCTACTGGATGGTGACAAACTGACAAAATTAGCCTCTCCTCCATGGCTACAGGTAGTTTCTATCAGGTTTCTATACATCTGTGAAGAAATGCACTTCCTTGCATTGGACACTGGAGGCATCATCCGTATATTTACAGCTCCACAAACACAAATCACATACGTAACAGGAAACAAGGCATTACCAAGAACTTTCAAAAGTTTTTTGGACACTAATTAGAGCACCACCATCAGACATATTGGGGGTCAAATTTCTTGTGAAGGGTTTCAGTGTTTGAACCTTAGTAACAAAGTGTTAAATATGGGTTACTTAATGTTGAAGACAAATTATTAGTGCTGGACACAAGGGCTGTAATTTATGATTTATTAAATGGTTGATGTCCTTCTATACTGTAACTATATTATGTACTCACATTGTGGGACGCTGTTGGCATGCTTCTGTCTTTCAGGACCCAGTCTACGGGAAAGGAAAGCTCGCAGAGATCCAAGGTCTCATTCTGGGTATGCTGGACACTTTTAACTATGAACAGGTAAAGCACTGTCTGTATATTATGAGTAAATAACAAAGACGTGCCTAAACCACAATTCAAATACTAGCTGTGTCAAACCTAATTGACAAGTTCTATCAATACACAGTCCTAAACAATGCCATGTAGGCTGTTAACATTGTCTGATGCTTGGTTTTTATTGCTGTGTAAACACAGCAGTGAAACAGACCCATATTTTTACTTCCGATCTGTGAGGAAAAACTCTGTTGATGTTGTTCAAATTCTCTTTCTGAATATGTTGTAATTGACATGGTAAAAAAAAATACAGAAAAATACTTTCCTGTTTTAGACTTTACTTGAAACAACCACCAGCCTGTTGAACCATGACCTCCACTGGTCCCTGGCTCACCTTCGCGCTGCTGTCACAAGGGGACTCCACCCACGACAAGACCACTGTAACATCTGTCTCCAGCAGTACAAGAGAAGGCAGGACTCAGCTGAGGAGATCATTGTGTTCAGGTAGCACACACTGGAGGTGTTAAACTCTTGGACAACAGTAAAACACAAATGGCTTCTGTTTTTGATGGTGTGTGATCAAGGTTTGGCCAAAATGTAGCTCAAAAGATGCATATCATTCTGGCTTTGTGTTTGTATCCTCATTTCTTTTTAATGCTGATTTACAGTTTTATTCACATACACTTTGCAGCCACTTTATTAAGTACACCTGTACACTAATGCAATCAAATATAATTGGTCTATCATAACGTCTGCTTTTGTTTTTGACACTGTCACAGAGGTGTCAATTCAGTCATAGGTTTTAGCATTGAGGTCTTATAGTTAGTGGTGTTGTTGCTCTGGACTGCAGTTGGTCGCGAGTTGTTTCTATTTAAGGCAGTTATGGAATTTATGGCAGAACATTTGTATTGAGTTGCAATTGATTGTACAGGTTTTTTTTCTTTCTCATTTTTATGTGAAAAGCATTTCATATTTACGGACACTGACTTGTGTATGTATGTGTGTGTGTGTGTGTGTTGTTAGCTGTGGCCACCTGTACCACCTCCAGTGCCTGCAACAGAAGGACTCTGGGTGGGGCCCTTCCTCAGAGCTACAACAGCGATGGATCTGTTACAAGTGTTCCTCCAGCCAAGGAGGAAGGGGGGGGTCTACTACTGAACAAAAACGTGGCCGCAGCACGTCCCTGGCACAGGTGTGTGCTTGTTCTTGGGGAAAAAAGAAAGATGTGGACAGACATGAAGAAATAACTAGTTTAGATCAAAGGATAATTCTGGTATTATTTTAAACTTAATTTGTCGTCATCAAATCATCAAAGTGGGAAATTCATGTGGTCACCATTACACATTCCATTGTTATACAGCCTACTGTATAGCATTAAAAACAATAAATACAAAACATTAGAAAAGAAAAACAGGGACAAGACAGACAAAACAGTAAGAACATATCCTGTGAAAAGAAAAGTGGGATTTTGTTACGACAACAATACTGCTCAGTTTAAGCACTGCAGCTTACAACCCTGACACAGCCCTGTCCTTCCGTTTCGGTCTCAGACTCGTGTTACATCAATGCATCATGACGCAGGTGCAGAGGCTCACAGGAAGAAGGTAAGATTTATATATACATCTATAAATGTAACCACAGTGACAACAGCTCGTTGACCGCCATCTTTGGCTCTACTGGATATTGTTATGTGTTTTCTGTCAGATTTTCAGACTTAAAGCCTAAAAAGGTCATTCCCGTTATTATAATCAGGGCCTCATTTCCATCATTTTAAAAAAATATAGATACATTTATATATACATTTTTTAAAAAATAGGACCAACAGGGTCCGACATTAACGGTTGCCCGAATGCCTGGGGCAAGCAAAAATAGCCGGCGGGCCAGCAGACCCTGCGCAGACATGCCCGATCGGGCGAGCAGCACAGTAGGAAAAAACCTTAACGTCGGACCCTGGCCAAAGATGCAATGAACTGGAATGATCTTTTTACATTCATTTGCAAACATGAAACCTGCTCGGCCACAGTACATAAAGTTTGATAGCAAAATTCTAATCTAGTTATTGTCAAGCAGGTGAGCACAGGGCAACAGGCTTGCTCTTTTTGCACTCTGTATGCCATGTAACAAATTATAACTTAATGTTCTTTGTTGGGACCCAGGTGTTTGTTGAAGCAACGTTGGACCTTCAGCAGGAACAGTCCTGGGATCAGCTTCGCTGTTTGTACCGAGGACCATCCAGGGTAGGGAACCCTCCATTTTACATTTCTTTATCTGCAAATGGCCAGACTCATCATAGAAAGGCTTTTTTTTTTAATTTTAATGATTAAATAGACTTGTTGGCTTTTTCTGGGATATCCTCAATGAGTGATACAGATTCTCTGCTGAGGGAATACATTATAAATGCAAACTTGTAGATCCGTATGTTACATTATGTCACCGAACAAGGGTGGAACATATAGGCAAGATAAAGCCATTGAATCCTTAATGAGAAACACTTGCTCTGTACCAAATGTATCTAAAAGAGAAGAATATTGCCATCCTAAACTGTGTATTATTGAACAACTAGGGAGTCAACAAATGCTGCTTTTGGAGAATTGAATATGAATCGTCACTCTGTTGTACAAAATGCCCTTGAGTCGTCTGAGAAATGTTATTTTACCAGTGATATGGACACCGTTTAAGAACTAACAGCATTGACTGCAAATTACAGCAAATGGCTGTCACCGGGGTATGCAAAATCCTGCAGACTGACATGTGTGTGCAGTTTGTTATAATAAGATAATAAAAAGAAGAGATATGAAAAACATAAATGACATAGATCATATGTCCCCCCACTCTCTCTGTCTCCCCATTTCACACTGTCCTATACATTAAAGGCAAAAAGGCCCAAAGAATAATCTTTAAAAAAAAACCCATTTAAATAAAAAAAAAAGTTTAATATAATTGATATTTAAACTTGATGTCTGCCTTTGTGTTACTTTTGAACATGTACACTTACACTTGTGTAGGAGACAAATAGAGGTGATGTATTTCCTTTTGTAATTGTTTCTCTCTCTCTCTCTCTCTCTCTCTCTCTCTCTCTCTCTCTCTCTCTCTCTCTCTCTCTCTGTCTTTCTTGCAGTTGTCCATCCTTTCAGAACTCTCTCACTGCCACAGCAGTGAGAAGACAGGCCTTCTAATCTCAGCCCAACCAGGAACAGAGAATTTCCAGCTCAAACTCTCTCCTCCACCTCTATTGGAAGAGTAGCGCCATGACTAGTTGTGGATAGATGTTGTCTTCATTTGCGTAGACTTGAGTCAAGTGGGACTGGTTTGATATGATGTCATTCAAAATGTTAATCTCAAAACAAACAGTTTGATATTGATGATAATTAGTCACTTTGATTATTCTACTGAATGTAGCTTTAATTTCATCCATTGTTTCTGTACTACAGCTGGCTGAACCATACTGCTCTGATTTGCATGTTGAGACTGGGATGTCAGAGGTTGGAATCTAACATAAACTGCAAAGAATATTGTGACATTTTATTTTGACAAAGGGAAATGATGCTGTTTGCAGTAAAAGGACCCAAAATACTTTGGACTCTCTTCTTTCAGGATGGTAATATGAAACGCACTTTTTTAATGTAAAAGTTGTAGTCTGGTGATGTCACAATTATCCTGACCGCTTCTAATGGATAAATGACCTTTGTTGACTAAATCTAAAAACGAACTTATTCAAACTGATAAATGAATTTTCAAAAGATTTATCTTTTGTTTGATGTGTGTGGTGCATGCGGCAGAATTTTAAATCTGGGATTGGATGTTTCTTACTGAAATGCACCTTGGGAGTTGTGGTTAACCCTGGACACCTAGCATTACTCCTCCCATTTCTGTCTCTATTGTCTGTGTATTTCCTCACTAAAATATGCTGCGTGACCTCAAAAGCTGAAATACTTCACTCTTCCTTTCTCTCTTCTCACCTGTGTTACCAGTGTAGACACACCCAGTTCTCGTTCTTCTCTCCACATTTTTTCTCTGCCTTACCTGTCAACATTATTTCCTGCGTACCCTCATCCTCACATTCTGGTTTAAAGCCAGAAGTACATGGAGATTCTTCAGAAATAAGACACAATTGATGGCTGTCGTGGATCATGAGAAGGCAATAACCAATGATGTTCACGTGAATGAGTTAATCAGAGTTATACTGTGATTTGGTTAGAAAATCTGAATGGGAGAAGGTGACAGAAGGTGGGGAAGTTCATTGCAAAGTACGTTTGTACTTAATGTTGTTCATGATGTTGAAAACTTGTACTTAAAACAAATGTGTGTCTACTCTCCTGTCTCTTTGCTCTTGAAAATTATTAAAATTGACCTAATTTTTTTTGGATTATGGACCGCAGACTACCCACAACAGACGCATTAATTTGGACCAAAGCCTGAAGTATACCGCTGGTTTTTGAAGAATGGACTGAGTAATAACACTGGCTGAAAAAAGGAATGTCTTTTAGTACACACAGATGGTCAAAGTCATAGTCATTGGACTGGAGACTAAACCCTGGTCATACACTCAGGCAGTGAGGACAATTAACGGTGGAGAATTAATCAATACAAATGGCAGTTAGACTGCTGATATTTTGGGTTTATCATGGATACTTTTGGAGCACTTTTTGAACTGAACATCTGCATGAGTCTCCATTAAAATCCACTAGAAACAGCTGTTCCTACATACACCTCTCCCTGCTGATTTTGACCGAGAATTATTAAAATCATTCGTAGTGTATGCCTACAATACATATACATATCACAATAATCTCACCATCTTTCGACCCAAGCATAAAGCAGAACTTAAAGGGCCAGTGTGTAATATTTGGCATGGTTTATTGTCAATCTGAATCTGAATCTGAATATTCTACCCATTAATATGTTTATACAAGTGTATAATCGCTATAAAATAAAATTTGTTTGGTTTTCGTAGCCTTATAATTATGCTTTTATATA